GTTAATCCCGAAAAAGTAGCAATAAAACATATATGTCAGGGAACTCGAGGGGAAAAAAAAAAACTTTCAACTAATCAAAAACAAGATCTGATCATCTACTAAATCCCTGGACTAATCCCTTAATCATTGATATTCAGTATAGTTAGATAAAGAAACAGCAATAATACGGCAAAAGCGAAGGTTAATGAAATCGCAGTTCGCACTCATTCTGTGATGAAATTCCCCACAGTTTCATAGATGAGGCTTCGGCAACGGAAATTAGATTTTCCCTCGCGACCGCTGAGCATTGCAAGGAAAACACTTTCACCCTATTTCATTACTGTCATTCCAGAGGTCTCAAGGATGATATTGCTACCGCCATCTATCGGAGAAAGTCGAAACTACGCAAGGGATTGAACGAAAAAAATCACTCTTTTATTTTTCGCGTTTCTTCATTATTATAATTACTTTTTATGATAAAAATGTAAGTATTTATATAGAAGCTTTAGGTATAGAAGCTTTAATTTTTGTTTCAATGCATTTGGGAAAAGGATAGATTCAGAAGATAATTATGCGAATTTCTCGGGGGGAAAAAATGTTTGAACTATTTTTTTTCTGATATTCCATATTGAAATAAAGGGAAAAAGGAGAAGAAAAAAAAAGGAACTAAAAGTAAATATTGTCCAATATTCTTGAAAACAAATCACAACTGGTTAAATAAATTTTTTACAAAATTAGTTATTAAAAAAATCTAAATAAAAATAAATTTAATTAAAATCACACTTCTATTCTTTATTCTTTAGCAAATCGTTTGGATTTTAATTTATGTAATGCAATAGCCATAAACTGAGGGACACATCTAAATTAATAATTATCTAAATTAACATCGTATTTATGAATTTAATTTTTTTAAGCTGGGTAAAAATCGCATTTCTTGCCATTTAAAACTTGAGCCCCGAGGAATATAAATTTGTAAAAAGTTAAAAACTCTTCATTTCTAAGAAAAAGTCTTAAAAAAAAAGTCTTGAAGTCTCTGAATTTGCGATGATAATATATATATAGATATATATAACGATTGCTTGACAAAAAATGGTCAAGATGAAAAATTTTCAAATCGTTGCGAGTACAATAAACTCGTGAACATTTCGAACCAAAAAACGATACAATCAGCGAGATCACATTACTTTTTCCTTAAAATAAAACTCGAAATTGGGCAATCTTATTTCTTCTGCGATAAAAAGGCGTCCGAATCGTCCGTTTTAAATTATTACAGAACTTAAACAGTTTCCTTCTGCGAAATAATTTGATATCAAAATGATTTTAGTTTGAGTCAATTGCCTCGAGTGGTTGTTGTCCTTGAATTGATAAAAGCCAATAAAAAACGATTACGATTAAAATTAAGGTTGCCGCACTCGGTTAATCGCCTCATTACATCTTCTTCACTAATGACATGCGAAAAATTTCACTAATTGGCGCTTACAAGGACAACCGCTTTCAGAACGCGGATTACTTGTTCGCGTATTGAAAAACTGCTCCAGTGCGGTAATTTACTTTGAATATCAGCAATAATTTATGTTTCATAAGCTCGACATTTTTTTTGGAATTAAAATCTTTTGAAGTAACTGTTTTTTCAATTAAATTCTTAATCTTTCACAGAAACGAGAATTAAACACCAATTGTTAGACGCTTTATTAAAAATGTTATTTAAGTCAAATTTGTTGCTCTAATTGGGTCGTTGCTTTATTTTGAAAGGCGGGAGGTTTATTAATATTATTTTTGATTCAAAATAATTTTGCTTTTTAATTGGAACGATATATTTGCTAAGTCTGAAAAAATCAACCAAAAGTGACATTACGTCATAGATGTAGGAATTATCATCAGACAATTAGTCCTACTAATTGCTGTCTCTGAAAGGTTATTAAGGGTCAGCATTTTTATAAAAAAATGATCCATCCCTTATAGAAATCAAAAGATATTGCTTAAACACGATAAAAAGTTGAAGATCAGTTTACAAATATAAAACAATCTTTCAATGCCTACTCTGTAATGATATTCATATTTATAACCGACGCCGAACAGCCGACCCAATTTTTTGGGTTTACGACTACTTATGTTCAACTCCGTACGCTTGTAATTTCGAACCCAATCCAGAAGACACAGGAACTCCCGGATGAAATATTGGGAGAAATTTGGCCTTCGGGGAGGACTTCTTGATGGAACTAACCCACATTTGCGTTGCATGGGGAGGAAAACCATGAAAACCTCCAACGGATAGCCTGACGGCAAGGGTACTTTAACCAAAGATCCGTCTACCAGCACAGAAAATATTTTTATGTCAGCACTGTGGTCGGTGCAAGCCGGATGCGGAATTCTTTTAGGTAATTCTTTAGGACAAGAAGGTACACATTGTTAATAATCATAGCTTTACACGAAGTGTAAGACACTCAAACCTTTGATTTTTTTATTTTACTGGGTTAAGCTTTAAAAAAATTTATAAAATGCTATGACAAAATAATATATTTAAAAAAAAGAATTTTAAATAAAATGTGGGGAAAAGAATGAAATGTTACTCGAAAACGATGCAAACATCAGTGGAACAATCATAAAAAGAAATACAAAAAACGATGATTACATGCAATACCGTTCACTGACCACAACATTTGACCTTTCAGTTCGATCTACTGATCGCAGTGGTTAGATATCAGTTTACCTTGACACTTAAGTTCAAGGAGAGAGAGAGATTGCACAATTTTGGTATCATTAAAATTATTACAAAATGTTTATGACGGCACAAATGAACGAAATAAGCGGGATTATATAAAATGTCTCATACATTGCCTCATACATGTCTCGTACATTGCTACAAGGGTGTTCAACCTCTGTTTTGCAAGACATTTACAGATTTTTAATGGAAAAGAAACAACAAAAATTGAACGTTTCGTTAGAAAAACGAGTAAAGAACATCTTTTATCCTATGCAAACTTCCTTATTTGTTCCATTTTATTTAAATTTCTTTTTCATTAAATTTAGATTGCCACTTTCTCAATTTATGTTCACTACAAAATAGCTAGCAAATGTTTTTACATCAATTAGAGGATATTTACTGATAAGTAACGAATACATACTGATGTCGATTTTCAAATATTATCAAAGAAAAATGGCGTTCAACTTTGGAATAACTATATTTCTCGGTAGTTAAAGATTTACAGCGAGTAGCAAATCTGCTGTAAACTAAATACAGTGATACCTCTCATGAGCGACCACTCTTCATTCCACAGTAAAATGGTCGTTCTAGGAGGTTACCTCCATTGGCTTCAAAATTGCTATCATAGGTATACATGATTTTTCGCATATGATTTCATTTTTAGTCAGTGTCATTTTCTTGGCACGGAAATGCCACTTCTGTTGGCGCCATGAAAAGACAGATCTATGAATAAGATTTGCCAAAATGATCCCAACTGATACAATTATGTGTAAAAACAAATTTACCAATTATGAATGATAAAGCTGTCTTAAATAAATAAACAATCATTTTTTTTTTTTTGTTTAAGTTTGCATTTAATTTCAGGTTTGTTTGAGATGCTTGTTTTTTTTTGTGAAATAAATTTTTGTTTTTAATTTAACCAGTGCACTCTGATTGAAACATGAGGTTGTATCGTCAAAATGAGTTCTCTAAATTAAGAGTTTCACACAAATATTTGGAATAGATTTTAATTTACTTATTTTCACTGTAATATACTAATAGCAAATAAGAACGCGTATTTTTTTTTTATCTTCTTCAGAACATGAATGTAAAATGCATGATATGGTAGACCTTGAACAGAAATATATTGAAATTTCACCCAATGATAACGCTTGAAAGCAGATTTGAAGAGAAACGTGACTAGTACTTTACGATAGGACAGATCTTGAACCGTTATATAATTAAACTTCGATATACGACAACGCTGGGACGGACACAGCACTAAAAACCTAACACTTTATAAAGGAAGAAGGAAACTCGGACGATATTGGGGTTCAAAATATCGTTACATCGTACTTCGGTCGATATTGGGGTTCAAAATATCGTTGCATCGTAGTTCGGACGACATTGGGGTTCAAAATATCGTTACATCGTAGTTCGGACGATATTGGGGTTCAAATTATCGTTACATCGTACTTCGGACGATATTGTTGTTCAAAATATCGTTACATCGTACTTCGGACGATATTGGGGTTCAAAATATCGTTACATCGTTATTCGGAAGATATTGGGGTTCAAAATATCGTTACATCGTTATTCGCACGATATTGGGGTTCAAATTATCGTTACATCGTACCATCTTATATGGATTCTATTAAGAATGATGTGCTGTCAAAAAAATTTTTATAATTCATGATAAACATCAATTTACATCATTTGCCAGGAATTGTGATTTTACTTATTCTAGGTCAGAAATTCTTTTGTTTTTTCTTGTTATTTAGTTCATTTTGTGGAAATGAAAGATCCCCTTGTAAGGAAATTGATTCGCAAATTTTCTTCTAAAAATCATACATAAAAAATAAATAAAATCATGTAATGTAGCTTTTGTTTCGTAAACATAGTTTTGTTCCAAAAAGAATGCTTGTAAAAACGCGAAAAATATTCTCAACTAATGTTGTCATGTTCTTAAATCGGAGAAATATGCCTCAAAAATAAGAGTTAACGATTTAAGAAGCGAGAAAAAATGATAATTCGACAAAGCCTTGTTATGTTTGTGAACGCTTATAACAGACATATGCACGTCAATGTAAAATATGCTGTATCTTCTTATTTATGAGTTTTAGATTGTGAAGGGTATTTTGTAATCGCCTCCCTTAATGCAATTTTTTTGAAACCCCCGACAACAATAAAGTAAATTATACAATGGTATAAAATTAATGTTGATGCGGGGTAGAAAGGGAAACATTGACAAAACCTGGCGAATAATAAACCAGAAAAATGAGATTATATCATCAGAATTCCTGACTATATTTAATCGATATATGGGCTATGGACTTACCTTTAGAAGAACAGTAGGCATCATAACTGGACGTGGGTGATAGGCCGTTGTGACTGTTGGACGAATGTCCATTGAGGAGGGGGGGAGGTGATATAGAGTCTATGGACATAGGGGATGGAGAAGGTAGCCAGGAGCCATCCTCCTGTTTTGCCCTCTTGGTGGGGGAGAACTGCATTTCTGAGTCTCTGTTTCCGTTCGTCATGCAGGGGCTTGGGAGCCGGGGCTCCATCTTGATACTAGGAAGATTAGGACTGAGGGCGGGCGGGCTCGTTTGACCCGCCAGAGCACCACCATTTTGAGAGTCTTGATGGAGGCCCTTACCCCCATGGAAGAAGAGTTTGATGGTTTTGGTGTCTGCAATTTGGGGTGGAGATGGTATGGGGCGGTGAAGACTCTCGGACACCCAGGGCGACCGCCCTGCATAACTGGATATGGAAGCCACTCCGCCGCCTTTATTTAACAGCCGACCAACGACTTCTGAAAAATAACAAAAAATAAATAGAATTAGTCTTCAGTATTAATTATTATTAATATTAATTATTATTATTAACATTAATATTATTATCACTTTGTGATATTACTATTCGCTCCGTATACTACAAAAAGTAACTTAGATCAAGACTTGAGGGAGGGGAGGGTTTTTTAATACTACACAAATGAAGTTCAATTACATTGTGTTATAAAGTTTCAGATCAGTTAGAAAAAAAGTAATGCAACATGCGCCTATATTTAGCATTGAAGGCACGGTGGCTCAGGGGATAGAGCATTCGCCTCTAAATGAGGTGACCCAGGTTCGAAATGCCAGCGCAGGCTGGTTGATACGGATTTGCTACCTGCTCGCCCTGACCATAGTGCTGACGTAAAATATCCTCAGTGGTAGACGGATAACAGGTTAAAATTCCTTTCCCGTCGGGCTAAACGTGGGAGGTTTCCGAGGTTGTCCTTTCAATGTAACGCAAATGTGGGTTAGTTCCATTATAGAAGTTAGTTTGTTCAAATGCTTGATCGTGGAGTTCCAGTTTTTATTTTATTTTATAACCGTCTTTGGAACAGAGGACCTAATTTTGGGTTTTCGACTACTAATGTTCAGCTCCGTAGCCTTGTAATGTTGAAGTCTAGAAACCCAGTCTAGAAGACAAGGGAACTCCTGGATCTTTCGTGGACGATTTTTTTGATGGAACTAACCCGCATTTGCGTTACATGGGAGGGAAACCACAAAAACCTGTCACTGTTAGCCTGATGACAAGGGGACTCTAACCCATAATCCGTCTACCACTGTGGATATTTTACGTCAGCACTGTGGTCGTAGAGGGCCGAGTGCGGAATTCGTATCGACTAACCAGCCATCACTGGGATTCGAACCGGGTTCATCTCATTGGAAAGCGAACGCTCGATCCCCTAAGCTACCACGGCTCCGTGGAGTTCTATTGTCTACGGGGTTGGGTTCAAAATAACAAGACTACGAAGTTGAACATTGATAGTCTTTTTTTTTAGTAAATTCAGAATTGGGTCGCGTGTTCAAAGCTAGTTATAAAATAAATTTCGAATAGAATTATTAATTGTTAGTTAAAATTTAAGAATGTCATGACGAAACTATTCAAACTAAAACTTACGCCCGAAAAAAAAAAAATTTCATCTTCAATAAAATAAAAACATAATTATATTAACAAGAAATAAATATATTAAGAGAATATTTTTCATGTTTTTTTTCGTTACATAATTAAAACGAATTTGATATTTTAATATTTTGCACGAACGCGTTATGAGTACGTTATATCTGTATGCAGAATGTATTCGTTATAAAATGACATACAATTGTTACTCTGATATAGTCAAAGAATTTTCAACTAAAATAACTTTCAATTAATTAAAAGAAAACATGCGTTAACAACCTCATAAAGGCAAAAGGAATTATTTGAAAAAGTGAGGGAAATGTGACATCTCGGAATTCTCACCGTTACGTGACATTAAGCAAGGTCGAGAATGATCAGGAGCGCTTCTCTGACATACTTCACAAGGAAAATAAAAGAACCAAATGACACACTTTTACCGTAAAATTCTCTTTTTTTTATTTCACTTTCAGCTTCTAAGGAGGACAAATTGGATGGGGAGGAAATATGTATTTGTACAACTATTCGATATATATATATATATATATATATATATAGCGCAAATAAAAAAAATAAATATCTTTATACTTGTAGCTGTATTGACCTTATCAAGAGATTATTTTATTTTAATCATTTGTTTTACATATAAATTTGTTTTACATTTACGATTGTTTTATATTTTACTCTAAAAATTTGATTATTTACATAAAATTTGTATTTTTTTTAACAGTGATTAACTTCTAATTAACTCCATATATTCTCAAAAAATTTTTTTTCCATACAATTTAGCATCATTCTTTCCTTTTTGTTTCAGGAGAAATTTGGGTCCGTTAACGAATTTTTCGCAAAATTTTCGTCGATTAAACGGACTCTTATTTTCCATTTTAAAAATGGTTTTTTTCTCAGAATTCATTTAAAAAACGACGCCGAATACGTCTGTAATTCATTATTTTAAGCTCCTTAAAAACAGGTTTCTTGTGGGTTTTTTTTCTCCAAATACAAGAGCTTTATTTTCACATATTCACAAAAATAGGAAGGCGATGACGATAATAAATAAAGCAACCGATTCAACGGCAATTTCAGTTAAAATTATGATTTGATTTTTTTTCAAATTCCAAAAAACATGACCTGTCACAAAAATTTGGAATAGTCAACTTTGCACAGACAATTGAGTATTTTGTAAAGCTTTAAGAAATTAGGTTTGATTGCTAACTGCATCGATAAAACAATCTGACAACTGCAACGATATAACAATTGGAAAACTTTTAATTACAACGAGATAGCAGTGCACGGCAATAATTCAGGATATTTCAGCTGCAAAAAATAAAAAATATTCGGCAATAATATGTAATACGTAAAATATCTCTTTTACAAACGGTACAAAATAAAATCTATTTTCGAAATATTAAAAAAAAATTCTATTAATCTAAAATATAAAATAATTTAACTACTATTAAAACAACGCTACTTCAAATACTAAACAAAATAATATATATATATAATTATTTAATAAATTTTAATAAACAAAATTATTATGCATAGTAATGTAACAAGAGTGGCGAAAATAAGGCACCGCTACACTTACCGACTTATTTGTTAGAGACACAATCATTTCAGAAAACACAAATATTCAGCAGAAATTTTAGTAGGAAAAAATGGTAGAATTCACAGATAGAAAAAAATGAGAACTCCACAGTTTTATTCCATTAAAAAAAGGTCCCAATAAAAGGACAGAAGTAAACAAATTTGAAGAATATAGCAAAGAAGAATTAACATATTAATAGAAAGCAATATCAATTTATTAACATTTAAAATTATGCCTTAATTGTATTAAAATGTTTTTTTTTCCGAATGTTTGATGGAAGGTGATAAGAAAAAAACAAAACGAACCTTCCACCATCAAGTTCATTTTCATGGATAATTCGATATTGGCCAATGGGTCACTCCGGACACTGCATTGTTTGAGGCTGCTTCAACCCCAAAATCGTCTGTCAACGTATTTTCATATTCTAAAAAGGAAAATTATACACAATTACAATAGCTCAAAATGCAAATACATAAAACAAAATTTTTAAGAATTTTAAATCCGTTCCCGCTCACTAGATGGCGCTGGCGGTGTAATATGTTCGATATTCATCCATAGAAAGCAGGTCAACGGAGGGAGAAAACTACATTGAGTGATTAGATTCGCTCTTCACCGCGTAGAAGTGACACGATCTCGAAAAAAAATGAAATCTTGAAAATCTTATACTGGCATAAATGTAAAAAATAACCTATAGAATTTACCATGATTAATAATTTGTAAATCAATAAAGTTTTGTTAAATAATTTGTTGGAATATGTCAGACCTGCCAATCTCAAAAATTCAAAATGCCTGAGCTTTTTTTTGTAAGCACGGCATAGCGTAATAAGCAATAAATAAGAAATAATAAAAATAAATAAATGTACACATTCCTTAAATTTATAAAAGTAACTTCCTTCCCCTTAAAAAAGAGAAATACTAATAAATTAAACTATTTAAAAACACATTGAATTATTGATTTGACAATTTTTAAAAAACATAATATAAAACTTTTTCTGATCTTTTTTTACCGTTTATGTGAAAATAAGGCCTTGTTTCTGTATTTAAAAAAATGTATTTTAAAGAGTTGTATTTTTAAAATCATAAATTAAGGACAACGACTCTGTGTTTCAAAAGAAGAATTTTTGCCGGCGCCAATTTTAAAATATATTGAAGGGTCCCATCTCAGAATGTTTGACCATGTCTAGGAACAAGCATTTAAATGAGTGAAAATATTCTGCGGATTATACGTGTATTTTATCTCGGAGCAAGCTTACAAAATTGTTCGAAAAAATTTATTAAAATAGTATCATCGCTTGAGGACAATGTACATATATACATATATAATTTACTGTTAACGTTGTATCCAATTACAAATGTAATTAGATTTAATAGTGATGATTACAAATAATAATAAAATTAGGTACAGAAAATTGTATTCAACACAAAACAAACAGGCAAAACATATGAGATCGCAAAATATAAGTAATATCGACGTTATTTTCATTGCGTCGATACTAGCGTCAATATTAGGATGAGGATCGTCATTAATTCTCGGTATTTTTGCGGACATCGTATCCGAATTAATCTCCAACAATAATCATTTATTCGAACTTAATAAACTTAATGTCATTTATTGAACAATGCACGACAGGTTAATAGCAATGAAAACATCGATAATGCAACTTCAAATTTTTTAAAAATAATTTGCGTTTTCGTTTTGCATTTCAAAACAAAGCAAACTACTTTCTCACTAGCAGACATTTCTAAATTAGTCCATGAGCATTTTGAGTTTTTAGTTTTTCACATCCTTTCACGTTTATTCAGGTACTCCCTTACTGACATTACGATCTATGACGTCACGTTGGTATCACATGGCGAAATAAACGTCGGGTAAAAAAAAATTTTAAAACATATTTCTAAGGAACAATTTCTTTTTTTACATTTTTTAAAAAAAAATTTTTATTCCAAATTTTATTTAAGATTTTTTTCCCTTCATGTTTTGCAGAAAGTGTGCGCCGCCCTTAGCACATTCTGCTATATGGGACTGAAGGATGATATCTGATTTTTAACAACATTTGCAATATGATACTTTCCTCATTAATGGCATCAGCAACATAGATAAATTTTTATAGTTTGTAAAAAAGATGTAATGATGCCAGAAATACATTATAATAAAGTAATATAATCGAGGGTAAGATTTATAAGTATCATAATCTTTAAATCACCGCATTATGATATTCATTTTTTTTAATAAAGAAACTGAACTAACTTTCGGCGTTAATTACTAAGAAAAATTATCGTCACAAATGTATGCATTTTTTAATACAATTAATAAAAAGGAAGTTTGATTTTGCATCGAAATTTATTTCATATTTAGCAAGTTTAGTTTCCAGATAAATTTTGCACCATCGTGAGAATGTTTAGCAGAAATTTCGGTGCGCTAACAGTCATCACAAATTATTTTACAGTTCAAACGGGGTTTTCCTGAATTATTTCATCGTAAAACTGGACTTTCACAAAATATTCTGTCATAAAAAGAACCTAACCTTTACAATATTTTTCATTTTAAAATTGACTTTTCAAAAACTTACTTTTTCGAAAATACAAAACAAAATCCCCTTTTGAATAAATTCGTAAATTTTTTCGTCGAATGAATTCTTAATTTTAAAAATACAACTCATTGAAATACTAATTTTTTTTATGTTTTGCTTAATATAAAAACAGGACTTCACATCAACAGGACTTCACATCATTGTGAAAATATTTCTGATCTTTCACATCAGAAATATTTTCACAATTTTGTGATTTTTCAAAAAAATTAAAAACGGTACTTTATTTTAACAATTTCACAAAGTTATGCTTTTTTTTTTCTCTCTCCACAATTACACAAAAACAGAACCGTTTACTGTAAGTCTAAACACACCTTTTGAGTAAAAAAGTAGACAGATAATTTCTGTATGTAAAAATTTTCAAACGACGTTGTACATAACGCATCTGCGTGTATTAAAATGTAAAAACAGCCAGACATGAATCCAAACTAATTAAATGCAGAAATTTACGACCAAGTTTGGGCGAGTAAATATAACATGCAAAATGCAGTACGCTTTTTGTTCTCTAGCATAGCACGAATGCTAAGCACTGACCGGGTGACACGGACAGAAATAAAAAAAATAAAAGAGGAAAACCAAAAACAAACACAACGGCAGAGGATGAATTCTAAATTTACGACCTCCATAAATAACTGAGGAAGGAATAATAAAAATGGCTGAAAAGCAGAGAGAAAGAGGAGGTGAAAAATTCCAAGTGCAAATCTGGCATCACGCGCACGCAGAAATAAAATAAATAAAAGGCCAACACACGCAAAAAATTTTATATTGGAAAGAACCATCAGACGATACTTAGTTGTTGAAAGAGCTTTTGTAAATGAAAATGTTCCACGAATCAACAAAACGCTTGCTTTAAAAGAGTAAATCAGACGATAAACAATAAGTCAAACGATTTCCATGCATCTTATTGCAACGCGTGAAATTTAGCGTCCATTTTTTAAATTTAAAAAATAATTATAGCAATATTTCTCTGATGTAAAAAATTTCAAGTTTAAACCTGGCATCACATGAATGCAGAAGAATAAAAACAAATAAAAAAAAGGTTAGCAAGCGAAAAAAGAAATTCCGAAAGAATAATGAGATGACACTAACTTAAATGGATATATTCTTCGAATCAATAACTCAGAAAACTTAAAAAAGTTTCAAAAATAAGGAATTTAAATAACGTAAGTAAAAAATATTTAATTAATTATTTTGCAACTTATAAAATTTAGCGTCAAGATCTCCATTCAGAAATTGATAAAAATTAACAATTCAAATAGGAGCTGAAAAATTCCAAGGGCAAATTTGGCTTTACATTTACACAGAAAGTAAATTAATAATACACGCAGCAAAATATATAAAATGGAAAAAACAATCAGACGATACTTAACTGATTGTTATAGTATTTTTATTATGTTTCAAACGTTTTAAAATGAAGACTTTTAAAAAGCGTAAAGAACTGAAATGGTTTTTAATAAATCTTTTCAGAACTAATGAAATTCAATGCTTGTTTTTTAAATTTATAGATTCCAGCCGTCAAAATTATAAGTGAATATAAATAAATTAGAATAAAAAATTTCTTAAAAGAACTTCCTTTTTTTCCCCTTCAATTTCTATATAGAATTAATATGTTTTTCTGATTCAACATGACCATTTCGCAGCATGTTAAAATTTTATCACGTAAATTATTATTTTCAAAACAAATATATTAAAATGAGGTTTTAAATTTTACATAATGTACAAAAAACTTATGTGTTAAGTTATTTATGCACTATAAGCATCGTTGTTTTATTTTATTTACAAAATGCTACTTAAGTTTCAAATATAAAGTTCATTTTTGTATTAAATGATTTTAGTCACTGACTTTACCTAATTTAAAACGCTCATTTTGCTACAGAAAACGTAAAGAATATTAGACTTTGAATATTATGTTGAATTTTTATGCTGAAAAATAGCTTTAAATTTATTTTACGTATATTAAAAATATTGTTTGAAATTAAATGGTATGCAAATTTAACTTGAAAACTGGTGATTTAAATGGCATTTTCGATTAAACATTCATTGAAGTTGTTTTAAGAACATTTTTAATGGCATAACCTTTAAAGAAAAGGAAGAATGGAACTTCGATAAGTAAAAACCAAACGTTCCAAAACTTGAAATATTTGACCAATTTTGAAATTTTCATTCTAAATTAGGTGGATATCAGTTAAAAATGGCTTTTTTTAGATTTCGAAGAAAGTGATAACCAAACGACTTTGTAAGATTGCTTTTCTGTGGTCAAAATGGTGAGGTGACCTCGCCTTGACCTTGAATGAAAAATCCTTCGATAAAGTCGGAGACATCAACAACAGTTGTTCAAGCTTATCGCGATACCAGGGGTTCTCAGACAAGATTAAAAACCGAGAAACAACAGTGGAAGACCTTAAACACTGAAAACGGGTAGATTAGAGAATTGCGTGATTGAAAAGTGGTCGCCAGTGGAATTAATAGGTTCTCTAGAAAGAAAAAAAAAGAATTTCGCAACTCCACTTCAGTGTGGTCAGTTATCAAGCAAATTTTTTATTCTTATCCGAAATATTCGAAATCGTCTCATGAGAACTGTTTTATGATGGGAGTTGGCGGAGAAGCTCATGTAAATATTTGCCGAAACATACTAGCCTTTCAGCATAATTATCTATTAACTATAAGTCATTTAATCGCTTATTATTAACTATTATTCTATTTAAAGAACATTAACAATAGTTGTTATCGCATTTTCGATATAAGATATATCATAGATCTAGGCGAGACGTATCAGGGATCATTCCAGAATTTTTGTAAGATATTCTGTTTTTGTGAAATAGTGAAAAAAAAAAAA